TCTGGAGCTCAAAACACCCAACAGACTGACAAAAAGCACAAAAAACCCACAGACCTGCGGCCCTAAAGGACCAGGGACTGCCCAGCATTGGATCATGTCCACTTGTCTCTATGTTGGGTCTGTCTTCCTAATATGAGGCATAACTTGAATACAAGCATTGGTCCACCCGCCTCCCGCTAACCCGTCTCCCATAGCTCAAAATGGACATTAAAATGAGATGCTTACAGGTACCTGGCTGGAGAGCGCAAAACTGCTGGCTGGACTTTTCTTTTTACTGTTGCTGTTGTTGTTGTTGTTGCCCCCTCCGGAACTCATCGTGCTGCCGCCGGACATTTTTCGCTTCCTTCGCTTGTTGGGGGCTTGTCTTGCTGGCTCGGCTGGACAAAGAGCAAAGGGAGATATCTGAGGCTCGGGTGGGACACTGCTGGATATTTGATTTTGAGATGAAAGTCGCCCCATTCTCACCTGGTGGGGCCACCATCCGCTGCCATTTCTGAAACAGACAGGTTTTGAGGCAGTCTCGTGGGCTGAGACTGTACGTCTTGTGTCTGGACATCAGCTCCTGCATGGGCTCCAGGATTACACAAAGCTGTGGGAGAGAAAAAAAACCTGTTAGCAATGTTTTTTAATTCACATCGACCGTTCTGTAGACTGATGGAAATGAACTTACTCGGAGGTAGTTCAGCGTAGAGTTAGATAAGCCACATCTTGTGATGTTTTTTGATAGCTGGTCAAGCATTTGGGGGTCTTGGGCCTGTTGAGGAAGAAATTTAGTAAATCAACAAAAATTGTTTGCAGACATGGTTTTTGCCCATGATTTACCAAAGACAAGCACAAGTTATGCTAAAGACATCTATTGAAACTACAAGGTGGGTCATTTTTTTAACAAAACTTAACTTAAAGGGGTCATATGATGCGATTTCAAGTTTTCCTTTCTCTTTGGAGTGTTACAAGCTCTTGGTGCATAAAGAAGATCTGTAAAGTTGCAAAGACTAAAGTCTCAAATCCAAA